TCTCTTAATTATTAAAATAGATTTTTCTTTTTTCAAGACTGACAGTGAATTACACATTTACATAGAAACCCTGCATTTCAGAGATGCGGGTAGAAATAACTGTGCAGAGAATATTTATTTGAAAGCCAGGCACTGTGCAAAATACATTTTCTGTATGGATAATTCTTCTGCACTGTAAATGCAAACTGTCACAGTAAAGGGAAGTTAATTATCTATATTATGCTGTTGAAAAGAGTTGGAAATATCACACTTGCTAGGCACCACACTAAAGATTACAAAGTGATAGCTTGACTTTTAAATTGCAGGAAGCATTTTAATTTGCTCCATGAAAACCTTCCTGGATAATTTTATCCTGAGCGCTAAAAGATTTCCTTAATGTATGGAAGCTCATTAGCATCTTCATATTCAAAGTATCTATATCTGCATCTAAAATGTACTCTAGTTGATAGATTGTGCCAAAATGGAAATATTTGGCTATCTGCATCTCAACTGCTGTCTTGCATTGAAAACAAACTTTATAACATTTTTTAAACCCCCCCCCCCCCCTAGAAAAACCACACACCTTAAAAGGGTTACTCCACTTTAATAAATAGAAATTATAATTATCTTTAAAAAAACTAATATATCAGATATAATTGTTGCACAAGCCATTTTGTAATTTACAGTTGTTAAAGTTAGCTTTTCATTTAAAACTGTAGCTGCTGTAATGTTCTAAATCTGTCAAGGATTCAATGCAATATGGAGGCGTTCTGTAGACAGTTGGTGTACAGAACTCCCCCAGAAATGTCACTTCCTTCCTCTGTGATTGGCTAACTGATTTTCCCAGAAGTCTACACAAGGATACAAGTATAATTTTTGGCACCGCTTGCAAAAGGATTTACATTTTTGGTGAGATACTCTCTAAGGGTTAATTACTACTAAAGTGATGCTGACACTGCACCCGATTACAACACAGGAAGCCCACCAGCTGGTTAAATGAACCTAGACCAATTCAGGAATCAGTTTGGAAAGGACATGCTGCAACAAACAGCTTTTTTCTTTAGAACAGAAACAGGTAGGAATCTGCAACAAAATTAGATAAAATCCTTGTAATGTACACTGTTCGTCCAGAGGGGATTGATTTTTCAACAAAAGTGGAATTACTCTTTAAATATACAGAGACTAAAATTACACACACTTGCGTCTCCTTTTCCACAAAACAAACACACACCACCTTCACAGGCTTGAGGGCCCATTGACACCACATCCAGATAACCTCCGGACCAGACCAGACTGTTTCCGGATACAAAATGCATCCCAATGTATCCCTGTGCTATTTCTGGCCTCGGTCCCATCAGCGCAGTCTGTTCCAGACCAGAAAAATGCTGCTTGTCCTATTTTGTCTGGCCTGGAATACACTGGAACACATAAAAAATGCATGGAACGCACCTGTAAGTCAATTGCAAGCAAAACAAAAATTCCAAACGCGTCAAAGTCGCGGTAAAAACATGGCAAAAACGCAATGCACTACGGCGCATTGGTGTGAACCCAGCCTGAAGCTGCAGAAGGAAGGGACTTCTTAGAAATGTGTTCTAGAAAATACAGAAAAGTATAAAGGGATTCTCATATTTTAGGTTACTTCACTGATAGGACAGGGTAGTAAGGTCATCATTTGTGAAACAAACTACTATCCATCAGCATTAAGCTACTGTTTGAATCTTTTAAGAGGGCATTTTTTACTTGCTAAAATAATTTTTTTTTTAAAGGAAGGAACAAAAAAACCCCACACAAAACAGTGGATTGGGACCAATGAGTTTGTAGATGTGGCTCAGTGATTGAACCTGGCAGACAGGCTCCCTTTCCCAAAGGATTCTTCATAATGTGTGTATATATTCCTTCTTTGCAAATCCTCTCAATGATGAATGGGGACTGTGGGTGGGCAGCAGTTTTTAAGGTCTCTAGAGATGTTCAATGTTGCCTGGGCCACTCTTGAACATGCACAGAGTTGTCCCTAAACCACTCCTGTATTGTCTTGACTGTGTGCTTAGGATCGTTGTCATGTTGGAAGTTGAACCTTTGGCCCAATCTGAGGTCCTGAGCACTGTGGAACAGGTTTTCATTGAGGATATCTCTGTACTCTTGCTTCATTCAGCTTTCCCTCAACCCTGACTAGTCTCCCAGTCCCTGCTGCTGAAAAACATCCCCACAGCATGATGCGGCCACCAGCATGTTTCACTGTTGGAATGGTATTGGGCAGGTGATGAGCGGTGCCTGGTTTCCTCCAGACATAACGTTTAGAACTGAGGCCAAACAGTTCAATCTTGGTTTCATCAGACCAGAGAATCTTGTTCCTCAAATTCAGAGTCCTTCAGAAGCTTTTTTGCAAACTCCAAGCAAGCTTTCATGAGTTTTGCACTGAGGAGAGGCTTCAGTCTGGCTACTCTGCTGTAAAGCCAGATCAGTGGAGGGCTGCAGTGATGGTTGTCCTTCTGGAACTTTGTCCCAACTCCACACAGGACCTCTGGAGCGCAGTCAAAGTGACCATTGGGTTCTTGGTCACCTCTTTTACTAAAGTCCTTTTCCCTCAATTACTCAGTTTGGCTGGGTGACCAGCTCTTGGGAGAGTCCTGGCCCCCAAACACTTTTCCCGATATCCTGTTTTAGGGTGGTTGCCCGGTCCTATGGAGCCACCCTTCTGTGTGCTAGTAAGCTATGTCTCTTTCTACCAACACACAGGCATAGCATGGCAACCCACTCCCCTGCTCCCCGATTACTACTCCTTCTCCATGCTAGTAGATAAACAGCTGTTGAAGACTGTTTTGTCCCTAGTAACCTTAATACTGGACAGGAAGTTCAGGGAAGTGGAGCTGAGAGAGTTGGAAACAGCTGCTTGGAAACATGAGTGCTTGGGCAAAAATGTAACGAAAAACATTTCTGCCCAATGTATATCTGTTTGATCTGAACTCATTATTGAAAAAAGTTTGATGCTACTTTAATGTTTATAATGACACTTTTCTCATTGTCGTTATTATCACAGCAATAAAGATTAAATCCATATATTAATCTGCAAATCTAAACCATTAACCTCCTTGGCGGCATTCCCAAGTGTGGCTTGGGGTTAATTTTCAGTACCATAAGCGGTAACCCCGACCCACACTTGGGTTTTACAGCGTAGAGTTACTTACCTTGTCCACGATCCCCGCTTTGTCCTCCGGCCGATGCCGGCATCTGTCTTCCGCCCCTTGCGAGCGTCCGCGTCGCAGGGGGGCGGAACCGGCGGGAATTTTAAAAGTAAAAAAAAACTGAAGAAAATAGATAGAATAGAACATAAAAGTAAAAAAAACAAGTAATCAGACCGCCAGGGAGGTTAACAGAAATTATATTTACACCTGGGATGCAACATAGGCTGCGATACAGCAACTTGTAATTAACAGAACAAATTTTTATGATATTCACATGCCTTTACAACCCTTCATTGTACGTTTTTCTGCCTTTCTAAATGTTCTCTTAATACTTCTATTAGTCAATACCGAAGTTAGACTAAAGTCTGCATGTACTTGCTGCTCAAAGCAATCCTTCCTAATCTGCTTATAGACTTCAGTGTCTGAAAGTCACATCTTTTTAAATTCCACTTTGTCTTATAAAGGGAGTTTAGGAAGAAATAAAGCAGCAGAATGTAGACCAGTTTTCTTTTGTATCAAGGATGGTTACTAAATCTTTTAAGCAAGCACTTTACTTCTTCTATCAAGTCATTCACATGTAATGCTTGTCTACCCCATTATGTAATCTGTCATTCTTTAAAACTCCTAAAATATGGGAGACAGAAAAAACAAAAGTTTCATGTGCTGCCCAAATCGAACACAAAGGCCACAATGCCCTTCAAAACACACAGCTTATAAAATATTTTCATGCCATTTCTAGATAATAATAAAGCATTCCGTTATGTGCGAGTCAGTACCAATTCTTCAAAGCTGTATAGGTCATCAAGGCTGTAATGCACTTTTGGTTATAAGCCCATCATTTTTGACATTATTCATATAATTCATTTTGCTTTTACAGGTATTGGTATTGCGTGGTGTTGGAAACAGAACACTGAACAAATAGATTTTATGCTTAGGAAGAGGAAGGTTGAGATGTAAGACTCAAAACAGAAAAAAAATGTTTACAGGCTACCTATAATATAAAAATAAACACTGTGATAGAAAAAGCTTGAAGTTTTAGAAATTAAGTTATAAATGTACAGATAATGTAGTTTTTTCCTTTGGGAAAAAAAATCAGGCAAAGTTTCCAAGATTTTAAGAATACATCACTAAAAAGATTATGCCTACTTGAAACCAGAAGTTAAAAAAAACCAAACCATACAGTTTATGAGGTATATGCCTCAAATGCTCCATCAAATCAAGGCCAACTCTAAATTAATAATATAACAATTAATACACAAGTCTTTTTGTAATTTTGTGAGGATAAAAATTGCTGTAAAAGACCATACCACGAGTTTCATTACAAACGACAATAGGTTAAACTGTGCAATGAAGTCTACCAATCTACTTGCTATATATATATATATATAGCAAGTAGAGCGTTTTTTTTCACTACATAAGTGGATTTCCTATTTTTAAGGAAGGTGGTCATCTGATTTTAAACATCTGGATATAATAGCTGCTTCCAAATGTAAATTGCCTCATAGTTTATCCTAACATAGTAGCAAAAATAGGAGCACAGTTGCACATAGGGGGGCTGCAGCTGAAAGCACAGGTTCAAAACCAATTTTTTTGGTCACTAGAGGTCTTGGAAAAAGAAATGTGGGCCATCGCTGTCAACATTCAGAAGATGTCAATTGTGGGTGCATGTGGAAAAGCACTTTAAGAAGACACACATAAATCTGATATTACAACTGATGTTAGAATGTAGTATCCTAGAAAACATAAAAAAGGTATAGATATTTACAGACTAATAGGATCTTCCAGAGTCAGAACTGTACAAAGAAATGTGAAAATTATCATTATTAATCTTACACCCACCATTGGTGTCTTCAAGGCTGTTCTGGGATGGTAATTGTGGAGAAGGAGGAGGCTGCTGAGACAATGAAATGCTCACATCACTTTCCAGTGCGGCTGTGCTGCTGTCCAGCTGTCCCACTGGTGGAGGCCAGGGAAGATCTTTGATTACTTTAATCTCCACTGATTGCCACATCAACGGGAGGAGAGACAGGAAGACGACCGGCAGAAAGACAAAGAAGGGACAAAGACAGGTATAGTTTGAGAATTGGCAAAGTGTGTCCTAAACAAGAACAAAAAATGCCATGGTAGATTTGTACAAGAAGGTGGTATGAAAAAGAAGAACATAAACTATTCTTGCCCGCAATGAACACCAAGTAATATCCATGCAAAATACAATAAAACCAGAAGAAATGTTTTGTGCTACCAGCTCTGCTGATAGCATAGTCTTATGTCTCCTCCTTTCACAAATAACAATTAAAGTCCTTGGTCTTGAATAACAGTATAAGGAAGGATAAACTTTTTTTATGTTTGTGACAGACATTGCTATATTTTAATGGCCAGGCTCAATAAGCCAAACGTTTTGGTTTGAAAAGATGCAGACTGATCAATATTTGCCAGTGTAATGCTGGCCATACATGTAACGATAAATGACAGATATAGCAGATTGATCACTTTAAATAATCTTTAGCTTAAAATGTATTATTTAATGCAACAAAAAATCTATTTGTTAAAACTCACAGATTGTTTCCTTTTAATTAAAACAATTGTTTATTGATCAAGCCACCCAAATAGAACAATTAAAAAACATACAATCATTTAAAGGAAATTCTTATTTCATCAGATAATTACATTAGATAACGTATGGCCAGCATTGAAATATGTCCTTAATTAAAATTCCAAAAGGTTTGGAATCCGTTGATTTTTTTTACTCACCCTGACATTTCCCCTGAGAGCTTGACATACATAGTTACATAGTATTTGAGGTTGAATAAAGACATAAGTCCATCAAGTCCAACCTATACATTTGAGCCTCTGGAAATGCAAGATACTCCTAATTTGGGGACCTTGGTGCTACCCTCCCCTCCTATTTTCTGCTGCTCTACCTCTTCTCTTTTCCTTCACTTCTTATTCTTTACATTAATGTTTACTAATGCTATTGACCCCATAATATGGGGGACTTGATTTCTATTATCAAGTTAAAATGTAAAATTAATAAAATATTTTGAACATGAAATATGCCCTTAATCGCCGTTTCATCTTGAGATAATACTGACAATATATAGCATTTCAAGAGTATCAATATTCACCACCACACCACACCAAGGACAAAGGCAACATGTACAATGCTGTAAACCTCAAGAACCATCCAGTCATCTGAGAGTATCAGTAAACTGGGATCTAACTGTTGATATGGGTTTAGTGGCCAACAGAAAGTGAGGCACTACACATTTGTTTGCTTTTATCATTTTTTACAACCACTCCTCAGATTATGCAAGTGAAATTCCAATGCTACATAGCTCTCTTTTGTCAAGAATATATTTAAACACGGGTTGGCAACAATTTCATCAGTATTTTATGTGTTTGAACATCAGAAAGATTCCTGAACATTAGACAATAAAGTATGCACATTGGTACAAATTTACAAAGTTCTAGAGGAAGATTGCATAATGGGAGTAGGTGCCTTCTGCTGGGATGCTCTGCAGTCCGTCACAGGGAATTTAAGGCAGTGTGAGCTCCTCCTGATTGATCTTTATAATACAGGTTGTGGCATCACCATGGAGGAGCAGTGTGATTCGTGGGCATTTAATACCCCCACTGACTAATCATATGGGGGCATTTTTTTATTACTACTTACCTCAGGGCATGTATTGCTTCCAGACACCAGGCTATTTTTTGCCCCCACTGACCCCAGGGCGTTTATTGCTTCCACTGATGCTGGGGCATTTATTACTCTTGCTGGCAACCAAATGCAGAAAAATGTATTACTTCCACTGAGCAAGAACACTGGGGCATTTATAACTCTCACTGAAACCAGGGCATTTATTGCTCCCACTGACAAATGGCCATTTATTACTCCTACTTACTACTGACATGGGGTTTTATACTAATGTCATTGACGCTGGTATTTGTTACTCTCACTAACCACTGAAGCTGGAGCATTTTTTTACTCCCACTGATCTCCAGTGCTGGAGCATTTTTTACTCCCACTGATCTCCAGTGCTGGAGGTCATTTTTTCCCTCCTACAGGACACAGTCTGATGGCAAGTGAACTAGCTGTTTGCTTAAAACGTTTAAACCCCTGCTTTACAATATATTTCAGCAAACAGCTTTAAGCAGAAGAGCCATTCACATAGATTAGGTGGTTTAGCTTAAGTATAATAGTATGATGCTCATGTCTACATGTGATCTAGATACCTACACATATGCAGAACACTAGAGAAAAATGTTTTTACATATCCTAAAATGCATGTAAATTGACAATTATGAAATAATACATTACATCATTACCTCAAATTTTTTTAAAAATTGTATTTATTAGTTCTGCGCATATTAAATAAAATATATTAAATAACCCCATACATTTCCTTGAACTGATGTTCTGTGTATTTTAATAAGCTGAAAGATATCCATCTATGTCACAATCTTAATTGCAGTGTGCATAAAAAAAACTTGATACGGCTTGTATATGTTTTGTATGCTACCCCCTCCAAAAAAAATTCTGGTAGCCCTTTTGTCGTACAGTTATTGTGCCTGTTTCATTAAACAAAGCCTTGTTCATATTCTTGACTTCTTTTCATAAAGCTCCTCAACAAACAAATTATTTTCGACTTACTGTACTTCTCGCAACATATCTTTGTCCTTAAAATAAAGTTATTTTTTTTTAAATTCCTGTCAAGTCTCACCATTAAATGACATTACATTACAAGACATTGGTGACCAGCTCTATTTTTTGTAAATCACACTTTATACTGAATCGGGAACACTCTGATTACCTCAGCTGGGAATTCTTAATTAGCGTTATTTAGAGTTGCCATTTCAACACTTGAAGAAAGGGAACAAAAGAAATTACAGTTGAAGTCACTCTTCAATACAAGGTAGTCCATAGGCCCTGAAAAGTGTTAGGAAATACAAACACAAAGTACTTAGAGCCTATAATGCATGGGCTGTAACAGCTGTAACTCTGATTGTGCAATCAGAAACACTTTACCAAGCTATGATTCATCTTTCATCATGCAGGTTCAATTACATAACACCTTTTCTGTTTGCTATTAATTCAAGGCATCACAAAAGAAAGGCTTTCTAATACTTAAAGCATATCTCCTCCTTCCTGGCAAGTGTAATACTGTACCTCAAGTCAATTAAATAATGAGCTTTTTATAATGCATATACTACTAATCTTGTTTGCTTATGTTTATACAAATCTGGGATTAAACAAGCCCAGAAATACAAAGATTTGCATGATTTCTAAGACTGACTATGTATATGCCTTGGGGGTTTTATAATGTAGACAATACAATGTCCTTCTGCCCACTAAAAATTGTCTCTCAAACTAGGCAGATGGCCACCACTAGTACATGCTCGGTGAAATACAGGTTCCTTTTTTTCCCCCACAGAAAATGAAACTATTGGCTCTCATTCACACCTATAGTTTAGGTGTGTTTAGGTATTCCTGCCTCAGGAACTTGTGATCTCCTGCAGCAGGAATCCCAAATCTGCCATTTGCAGGCAGCAGCTGTCGCCTGTTCAAGTTAATGATTAAGTGGCAGTGGGCACATTTAAAAGCAGCAGAACGATGGCAAACCACATGTAATCATATGTGATACGATTGAATGCAGTTACAAATCAATCACTATCATATCTGTCTACATGATAGATGCGTCCAGCGATAGTGATTAATTCCTAACCACATGTTAAGCACATTATCACACTGGGGGGAAAATGTAAACACGTCCTAGGAGGCCTGGGCATGCGGTTGAACACAGAATTATATTCAGTCATGTAATTATTATATTTTTACCAGAACTGACATATTATGGGTAACAAACCATGGGAAAGAAATAAGGCAAGATAAAAATGGTTTCTCTACACCAAGTTAGGGAAAAGCATTAAAAGTGGAGCTACAAATTCTCCAGTTACACCATTGTGTCCTCATTTTCAACTGTTCATTGACAGTCACCAAGGTACAAACAATGTCAAACAAACACAGACTAGCACAGACTGTGAAGAGCAGATACAAGCTAACAAAAAAAAAACAGCTTGTATAGTATATGCTGATAGAACAGATTAAATCATCAGTAGTAAGCTTCATGTGAACTCTGTTCATTCTAACAAAAGGTAAATATCTCAAGGCTTTTTCCCCATAGTTCTCTTTAGGGTCACGGGAGAACACATACTAACCTCCTCCCGTGACCCAAAGCTCAGGTCGGCACTAACTATGAGGGTGAGTTGAAATCACTCACCTCATAGTTCTCCTTTAACTTTCCCTCAGCTTGTCTCTATAATTGCACTTTGAAACCATTTAGAATAGCTTCCAATCCTATGTATAAACTTGCTCCAAATAAATCACTATAAAGTTAATATTGAATTTTTTTTTTAGGTATCCTGTGTGATGAGAACAAAAACATAATTTGGTCTGGCCGATTTTTACACATACTTCCCCTCCTCATAAACCCTGACCAGGTAGGCTTCGTGCACGGACGACAGGCCCCTGGCGGCACCAGACGTTTACTAAATGTTTTAAAACACACAGAACTCAACAAAGTTCCCTCCCTCTTCCTCTCCCTAGACGCCGAAAAAGCGTTCGACAGAATAAATTGGAACTTCCTGAAATCGGTTTTAATGAAGTTTGGCTTTATAGGTCCCATACTGAACGCTATTTTAGCTTTATACTCCACGCCTAGTGCGAAGGTACTTACCTCAGGTTTCCTCTCAAACGACCTATTAATTTCAAATGGCACTCGCCAAGGTTTCACCCATAATATTCGTCCTCATAATGGAACCGCTTGCAACCCTTGTGCGCTCACATCCCCACATCCATGGTGTTGCAGTAGGTCCTACCAACAACAAGATAGGTCTCTTTGCAGACGATATAGTTCTTTCAATATAACTACAAGCCACTCCTTCAGTCCATACCCAAAGAACTAGCCTCACTTTCTAAATTCTATCTCACTGTATGCGGC